TTTATTTTTTTTCTAGTGTTGTTGAGGAGTCTAGAAATGTCACCATCATAACTAAGTGGGCCAAGTAGAATTAGTATTGGATTAGCAAATGTCTAGTGCTTTAATGTCTTTGTATTTAGCTTTAAAAACCTACCAGAACCTCAGTGCTTGCTGGCAGTGCTGTCTCCAGCCTTCATATCACAGCATTTCTTCACCAAACTTGTTAGTTTAGACCCATGATGACATTTGTAGGTGCTTGTTTAACATTAGGATGTAGGATGCATAATTATACCAGAGCAATTCATAGTAGTGGTTTGGCTTCTTAGAGCTGAAGTGTGTTTTTAGTCATTAGATTGTAGATGGTGCTTTTGCCTGTGATGCTGAGTGCCACAGCCATTACTTCAGGTACTGTGTTGCCCTGCCCTGCTCAGAACTGTTCTGTTGCCCGGCAACAGCAGCCTCTGATTCAGCTCCTCGGCAACCAATCAGCATCTCTTGTGCCGATTTTTCCCTCTGCCCTGTCTGTGGTAACCCAGATGCACACACATGGGAACTGTGTACTGTACACCTGGATGTTTCTGTGTTTCTGTGAGCATGCTGATGTGCTTTCACACACTAAATTCTCTCTCTCTCTCTCTGATAACTGTATGTGAACAATTTGGTTGTGTTTTGTGTTGATCTGTCTTGAATGTGTAAATACAAAAGAGTGACCAAGAAACAGTATTTCTCAGACGCCTTGATAATTATTTTTACTCAAAGGCATAAAGAAACATTTTTACTTTCTTTAAGCATGATTGTCTGCATCTTCTTTGTGTTTCTTTGCTCAGTTCATTTGCTTGGCCAACACCTTGACCCTGGATCATTCTTGTTTTGCATGTTCTGCTTTTACTGAAAGAGTCAGAAGACCCATCAGCAAAGCGGCAAGGCGGTTGTTGCTGCACCGATAAGGTTCTGGATGGGGCTTCAGTGCCTTTCTGTGTGGAGTTTGCATGTTCTCCTCACGTTTGTTGATTGGGGTATTCCAGTTTCTCCTGCCTCCGATAGGCATGTTGAGAGGTGGATTGGCTCTGCTGCAATGCCTGCACTCTGAGGAGAAAGCATGTGGCCTTTATCTTATTAACCAGGAGACACAGGAAGCAGCTCTGATGCAGGTGCCCATTCCCTGAATAATTAGGCAGAGGTTCAGGTGATGGCAGATCCTAAAGCAAGGCTGTATTTGCAGACACCAGTGTAAGATCGAGTTTTTAATAGTCACAGTACATCGCGTGAATTACCAGGTTCAGAACGAGAGTTCCTAAGCCTCTGTATCGTCAGCCTGGCTCAGTGCTGCTGTCTGAGTGCCATGAAGTGCAGGGTTCCAGGCTCTGCAGTGCAGTACGGCATGCCCAGCATTACCTTGGTGCCAGACAGCGTACGAGCTGCCCTGGCCTACAGGCTTTGGGCTAAGCAGGACAGGTTGCAAAAACAGGCTTGGATGCCGAGCTTGCCTGGAATGGATTTTTCCAGAATGGGCTGTGAACATTGAGCACGGTTATGTGTAGGGCTTGCAGCTGTGCACTGACACTGGGTAAAGGCTGAGATGATAATGATTATAATAATATGTAGCAGTAATAAAAGAGAAGTGCCTGCTTCTTTGTTGTTGTTAACTTAATCGAACACAGAGCAGGTTGTGCATATATTTTTGAGGTGCCTGGATCGCCGGAGCAACTGTATGTAACTGCATGTTGTAAAATTGGCTGTTAGGAGTTTCAGCACTTTGCTTCAGTTTTAACTTGCTCCATGTGTTTCAGTGAAAATATTTGTAGTGCCAGTCCGTCTTGACCCTTTATTGACCAGTATTATTAGTAAAGGGAGCCTAAAAGCCTTCTTTTCCTAAAAAGGTGATAGGTACCTTGCTAAAAGCTGTTTGTTAAAAAAAATCCTGGTCTCAGTGCTATGGAGAGCGACCTCAAGAGTTTTTCACCCTAGTCTACAGGGCGTCAGTGCAGCACAGCAAGAAGTAGCCCGGGGGGGGAACAGGCAGGAAATCAAATTGCACGCAGTCCTTGAACAAATGAACAGGAGGAACCTTCAGCTTATTTATCATCTTCACTTAAGTCCTGCGTTTCCATTCAGCCTTTGATCGGGTCACACGCTGCCCTGTTTTTTCCCTCCTTTCTGCTTTGCGTTCCTCAAAAGAGCCCTGCTTCTAGGTAGGGTAGCATCTCTCGGTGAAAAACTGTTCCTTCAGGATGAAACTGTTGGTTCTGGTGCAGAGGTTTGACTGGGTTTGTTTCTCTCTCTCTCTCTCTCTCTCCGTCCCTGTTTGGCAGGCCTAGATGCCTTTGTGATTCTAAAACTGTCTTCTGCATGATGGATGCACACCACCTTCCAGCTTAAAGCTCTCTTCCCGGCTCTGGCCTCTGTCCGTTAGCTATTCCTGCGTTTCTCTTGTACAGACTGCCACTCTTTTGCCATTTCAGATACTATCGGAAGCATCAGCTCCTCACAGCAAGCTGTTGCAGCTTTGCCAGGCTCATTGTTTAGAATCCTTACTGGGTGCACGTAGTCCTCGCAGTAGATTACTATGTAATATAACTGGAGGAGTAGCTCTCTCGTTATTTGGTGTGGCATCGAGTTAACTAAAAATTCTAATATAAATGATGAAGTGGCATGATCGTAATCTTCTACAGAGAACTGTTGTATGTGGGGTTATGGGGGCATGGGGGGGGAAGTGCACCTTTCAGGAAAAGGCCGATTTCTCAGCAGCCAATCAAAATCCATCATGCAGGGCTGTTACCCAGAATCCCCTGCTCACTGATGTATCCTATCGCCAATCAATGGTTCAAAAAAACTTTCTTAAATCTAAATAGAAAATGATATTCATTTCTACTGTTTAGTGAGTTGCAACTACATGCAGGTGTTTTTGTACCAAATTTCACCTAAATATTTAAAGTAGACAGGGCTTAGTATTATCTCAAAGTTCAATTGACTGATATTGGGGGTGCGCTTTTCCCTACCTCTCACCCTACTCTGTGTTCAGTGTTTGACTCTGTACATTTTTTATATAAACATAGAACGCGTGCATTGCTGTGTTCTCCAGTGCAGTTCCTGGATTTGGGAGTTTAAAGTAAAAGACAAAACATTTCTTGCCTTGTGAAATATTGCTTATGAGAAATAAAATGTCTTCTCTTGTTCGGCCTCTTCTCCTACTAAACTCTTCCATGTCCTGTGGTTTGTGTATTTGTGTCTTTCTTAACTTCTAATAAAACTCACTCTTACTGACCTGCTTCTGTGCCTGATGTCTCTTTGTGATCTCTGCCTGCTCTACCTGGGTGTTTTGCTGCTCACAGCGCTGCCATGAAGATGTACTTTGCTGAGTGATCCCCCACCTCTGCACAGCAGTCACAGTGGGGCTTGCTTCCGGCCCTGTGGTAGAGACAGAAAATGCATGGCTGTGTGTTTAAAAGCTTTATTGTCTGAAGCACATTTTTTAAAAATATTTAGCATTATAGTCTTACAAAACAATAATGCATTACGGGCTCTTACAATACCAGGTTTTGTGTGATTCCAAAAATCAAAGGCAGTATAGGATGGCAACAATTGTATGTCCTATTGTTATGTAGTCTACGCAATTATTAATTAAACATACCAGCTGCATTATAGTTAATATAATTATAGTTAATAATATTTCTTAACAAGTAAACTTAGTAAATTTCAAGAGCTAGTGGTATACTACATGACACCCCTGATACAGAACACATGGAACATAAACTCCAGTTTACATCACCAGTTAAAGCTCTGTAGTGAATTCACTGAAGACTTGGCTCACCGAGCAGCATGCAGGGATTACAGCCCCGGTGATCTGGACAATTCACAGATATCGGACTATGCCTAAGACTACGAGTCTTACTGAAGTGTCGTAGATGTCATTGTTTAATCATCTTGATTGCGAAAGTTATCGTCTGTTATGTGGAATGGGTCTGGGGGCTTTCTTAGCCTGGACTTTCAAAGGGAAGGAAAAATACGTTGTGTGAAGTTGGTTTTTATGTTGGGGAAATAGAAAAGCCTGTTTGAAGGGAAATATCGTGCAGGTTGAAAGAGGAGTGTAAACCCACCCTCGCACTCACTCTGAGCTGATGGAGAAACCTGTCTGCACTCCCAGCAGCCCCTGGAGCTGGCAGGGCCAGCCTGACCCCTGAAAGACCCCGACCCTTACTGCTTCTCCAGTTTTCTTTTCTAATCGCTACCAGGCAAAGACTTCAGGGTTTCATTACAGTAATGTGTGAAGTGTCAAACGTTCATAAATCCGCAAGCTTGACACATTAAACGTAGCTTTCACCCCCCATCATTTCCTTGAACCAGCCTTTCTCTTTCCCTCTCTGTCTTTTTCTCCCTCTGTCCTCTCTCTCCGTCTTTGCTGTGGCTGAGAGTTGGTTTCTAAGGAGACGAGGTCTGTGCCCTGTATCTTGCTGTCGGCACAGACTTCTGTTTGAAGAAGTTCTGACAGAAGATTGGTGGCCAAGGCTGAATATTGCAAGAAGGGATTTGCTGAGCTTTAAACTTGCAATGCTTAGCTTTGCTTTTTGGTAACGGGAAAGCTTTCAAGTGTGATCTCTGTTTGAAAATATAATCATGTCATTGCAAAAGTGAAAACTTTATATCCATGTCCTTAGTCATTGTGATTGGAATCTGTGCACAGACAGCCCAGTCTGTACCTGAGTATAAATTTGCTTTATAAGGTGCAGGACAAAATTTTAATTCTTGATTTAATTAATTTATACAACACATATTGCTTTAAGGTATTAATAAGCATGGTTTTCTTTCTGAATGTGGCATGGAAGTCTGAAACTGGAATCCCCGAGAGGTCATAGAGACGAAGAGCAGCCCCTGCATCTGTGCAAATACAGATTGCGCTTGCACACACTTCCCTGAGAGGCTG